TTTTGTGCTTGTGCTCATCACTTCATTTGTGGACCACGGTCTCATCGTGGCATCACATATTAAAAGCATAATTAGATGTGTTTGTTATATGTTGTTTTTCTCTGTGCTAAGCCTTTGCTTTGCATTTCGTTAACCATTGCTGCAAATCTTCCTCTCATGGCCTCCAAAACCGGTGCACAGTCATAGCTGAGAGAAGGGGCTGAAAAGGACCTAAAATGTTACATCCCTGCTAGAGAACAAAATGGTGCCAAAATCCATTTTTGGTTTCCAGACCCGCTAGCACTGTCTGTTCACATCTGTTCTATAAAGCTCTCTTAACCTTTAAAAGAAGGTGACTTTTAAACTGGCTGTGGGAGTAGTCCCCCATCCATCTTAGATCATAAACTGTGCCTGGGAATTGTTGGGAAAGGGCTTGTTGGCCTGTGCCTGAGATGTCCCAGAAGCAGACTTTGTAATTTCAGTACATTCAGTAGAGATGACCAAATTCTAGTGTTCTAGTCTGTGGTGTGACAGGGTTTGGTTTGCTGCTTTGGACATGGGCACGGTGACAACCTCTCTCCCAGAGATTACAATTGTCTGTTCGTCAGCCCGTCCCAACAGGTGGTTTGTCTGACTCTTCAAAATTTTCTTTACTGGAGATTTCATATCTTCCAGAGAAAATGTGTTTCAGTTTTTAATTACCATTCTACCTAAATCATATGATTTTTTTTTTCTGAAAAATTGTTTGTCTTTGGAGCATATTGAAAAGCACTTGTATCCCTAAGCAATTTGGACGTGTATGGATATCTAACCTGTTACTCCTGGGGTTGTGGCACCTGAGGAGACACTGGCTCTTGCAAAAGTAAAAAATGGCTTTAGTATTTCCAGTATTTTATTTTACAAAATGTGGTAAAGAAAGATGAATGATATGGAGAAGAGCTGAGATGTAAAAAACAGGCCATGAAGGGTATAATTACTAGCTTTTTCAGTGGAATTAGGATGTAGTCTGGTGTACCTGTATGAAAGAACTGGATTATCTAGACGACAGTGCATTTGATGTTACTGTGGCATCTAGTAGAGTGGGACTTTAAAGCATTAACTTTGTTAGGTCAATCTTCTCTAAGTTAATAAATTGATTAAGTAGTAAGGAAAAACCTAGGTATTTATTTTTCACCTATTTTCCCATGAGATGATCAATTCTGAAAACTTATTGCTGTGTTTAACAATCAAAAGAGTTGAAAATTTTGTGAGCCTCCTCCTAGGTGATGCAAGTTAAATTGACATTAGTAATTATACTGGAAAATACTTTTAATTTCCTCATAGATGCATAATGTAGGGCTGTGGAGTGTCTCCTGGCAAAGAACAAAACTCATTTGAAAATCCTGACAGAAGTGTTACAGACTGTTGTCACTTACTGCAAGCTTAGTTCAAAAGGATTCTGAATTTTCCCAGCAGCATAAACTATTCTATACTATGTCCATTAGCATGGTATGAAAACAAGAGTTTTACTAAATTCAGTATAATTAACAGGCAAGCACTGGTCTTTTAACCCATGATGTAAACCCTTGTTTACTGCTGAAGTTGCTACTGCCTGGTTAGTAAGTGAAAGACTTCTTGGAGTGGCCAGAGTAAAATGTTTCTCCAAAACCAAATGCAGTCTCTCTGGGGTTTGAGGAATGCTGTTTTCCTGGAGTGCTGACATAGTATGGACTGACTTTAGGTTCGGAGTGTAAACTTACAAACCTCAGACTCCAAACAATCTCAGCTTTGGTTGGCATATTTAAAAGTTAGGATAAAGGGCCTATGTCCATCAGAGCCCAATTTCTGAACTCTCCTCCATTTGAACTACAGCATCTTTTGTTCTGTACGTTTGAAGTATAAAACCATTTTTGTGTGGTTTTCTGAGGAAGTGGAGTTTGTGTGATTAGTCTCCCAGTCTGTCTTTAAATTCCTCAGTGATGTTGTTGCACGGGGCAGGTTCAGCCCGGCTTGAAAGGAGCGTCCATCACCAGCTGACAGTTTGAACGTGGCATTTTCTTTTTAAGGGATGAGAAATTTTCATTGTATGGAAGCAAACTATGCTGTACCAGTTGATCTCAGAATTTGAGGATGGTGTCTAACTTTTTAAATTCAGGAGTATAAAAATAATCTCTGTGTCCTCAGACAGAACATGCAGTGTGGCTAAGAACACTGATCAAGAATAGTTGCAAAATTTGTTTAGGAGTTTAGAAGACCTGCTGGTGTAACTCGTTAAGAGGATGTGTGAATCCTCATATTTGAACTGTTTGCCTGTAACTCCCCTGAACAGTGGGTGTATGTACTGTCCCAGCAACTCCTTCTCCACTAAAGAAGCTGTGGCTGTTTTACACCTAGAAATTTTCTTGCTTCAGCGGACCAACGGGAGTGAACTACACCATGTAATTTTGAGTCTAATTGTAGCCATCTTTAAATTTAGTCTTAGCTCAGTAAGAAATGTGCTTTTTATTGTGCTTTAGGTTAGAAAAATTCCCAGTAGAGACTGAAGGTTGTTTTCTTCCCAAAGCCAAGGGATGATTTTGCAAGTTTTCTTACATCTCTCGCTCTGGACCTCACTTTTGAACTTAGGTCTGTGCCTGTGTGCTGCCAGCTTTTTACAATTCAGATGATTGCCACTGAGATAATTAGAGGGCTAAGAGCTTGCGACTTAAAAGGAGAGGCTGGGAGAGCTAGTTTTGTTCAGTCTTCAGGGTATTCAGTTACCTGTTGGAGAGTATAGAGGAGGTGGAGCCACAATTTTAGAGGTGCACAGTGATAGCACAAGAGCCAGTGGGCATGAGTCGCAACGAGGGAAATTCAGACTGGATGTTAGGAAGAAAATTTTTGCTGTGAGGACAGGCAGACATTGGAACAGGAGTGCAGGGAGGCTGAGAAATTTCCATGCTTGAAGATGTTGAGAATTCAGTGGGACCAAGGTGGTGGGCAGCCTGGTCCGATTTAGCCCTCCTTTGGGCAGACCTTTGGACCAGGTGACCTCTAGAGGTCTGTTCTAGCCTGTTGTTTTGTAACACGGCATGGGGTGTAGTGGCATGGGTTTCAAGTGCAGTTTCCTATGAAACAGCTTCCCACTAGGTTTGCATTCAGGAAGGCATGTTGCTAAGGTATAATAGGAGCCCAGAAGTGTTAATACCAGCTGAATGCTGGAAAACTTAATATAATTGCTCATTTTTTCATGAGGTTTTTGTGTGCTGCCTTTTCAATGGCACTTTCTAGATGCCTGAATTGAGGGCTGTGAAGAAATGCTTTTCCAAACAGTATTTAGGGATTGCTCTTTCATTAGTTAACATTTTGTATACTAAATACTTAGAAAAAGTCTGGTTTCCAAAGTTAGTGCTGAGTGTTAATCTTTTTGTGATTCAGCTCCCCAGTTGTCAGATCGGGAGACCATCGTTGCTTTTCAGGGGCAATGCGGTAATGACTATAATAAAGCCCAAAAGAAGATAAATAATTCTTCCTTCCAAGTGTGGTTTGTGTCCTGATAACCTTGTACTGCAATAGAAACAGAGAAGAAAGAAAAGCTTCAGTCTAGCCTCTGTGGAGGGACTTTTGGGAAAAAAAAACCAACACAGATGGTCATTAATTATTTAGAACAGCTATACATGAAGAGACCGGCATTAATTATAGCATTTCCTAGCTTCCAAATTTACTGTAATGCTTTAATTTTATTCTCTTAATAGTTTTTTTTTTTGTTTCTAAGCATAAATCACAGTTAAAAATTGGAGCTATTTTTTACAGCATTTCACGCCTACATCTTCTTGTTTATGAAAGAAGACAGCTGAAAGAGCGTCTCTATTGTAGCAGATGATGCCGGGTAACACATGGCATGCAGTTCACTGCAGTGACTGTCCCTCAAACTCTGAGCTCAGTTCTGTTCTCATCACCATCACTGGGAGTTTTAGCATTGCCTACCCTGCAGTTGTCCCTTGTACTACTGGCCAGGTGATGTAGTACAGCCTGGCTAAGAAGTTGGATGAGAGGCATACGCTTTATACTGAGTGCACAGGGACTCTGCTGAAATCGGTATCTTAGAACCTGCAAGAGGTGTTGGAAAAATGCCGAAAACAATAGGTGCTGGAGATCTGTACTGTATCTGCTTAAATTCATCCATATTTTGAGAGCTCTTAAAAAACTTGTTGAACTTGTAAGTATGTCTTAAATACACATACTATCCTGTCTAGGGGACTAAGTGTCTTATTGGATCACAAATAGGATGTGCATTAACAGAGCAGATGCAGGAAACTAAATGCTAAGTACTAAATAAATCCAGGAGCAGGGGAAATAAAGCCAATTACTTCACCCATCAACACATGCCTCATTTTTAATAAACCTGCTAGTGCTAAAAGGCTGTTTTAAAATGAGAACAGTGAAGTTGCATTAGGAAGCACTCTGAAGTCCACATGCTCTGGATTCAATATGGCTTGTCAAACCTTAATGCGTATCTAGTGTGCATATGCATTATAATAATCTTTTAATGGGAGAAATCTCTTTAAAGTGGGAAAATAAGTCTTTGACTTCAGTATAGTGGAAAATTAGATCTGCCTAAAAACATTCGCTTGCCCTGCCCTTAAAAGCCTGTAGAAATAGTAGGAAAAGTATATTTGGTGTTGAAGGCTCAGTAAATGATGGGAGAAGAGGTTATTCTGGAAGTAATGCTTTTTTCCTCAGAGATAATTGGAGACATTTATGAGCTGCAGTCTGAAAGTCTGACAGTGGTTTTGATTGCAACTGATCTTAGGAGCTTTTGAAAGTTGTTACAATTCTCTGGCTTACAAGGTCTCTTTTGCTCGTGTCTTTTAATAGCTCTCTACAAACATGCATCAGCTATAAATAAATTAGGCAGGACATCCTGCTTCTATGTGAAGTTGTTAATTTGTGAAAGAGGAAAACACCTCACTACTGGAATCTCCATCCCTCAAATGTCTCTAAAATATAAAGCAGGGATCAAAATCTTATTTGTTCTATCTTTTGCCTTTCAGGTCCAAACCATGAATTACGTTGGACAGTTAGCAGGGCAAGTGTTTGTAACTGTGAAGGAGCTCTATAAGGGACTAAACCCAGCCACATTGTCGGGATGTATAGATATAATTGTTGTACGTCAGCCAGATGGAAATCTTCAGTGTTCCCCTTTCCATGTACGCTTTGGGAAGATGGGAGTTCTACGTTCTAGGGAGAAAGTGGTAAGAAGTTTGACGATTTTGCTATGTTCTGTCTGTGGGTTAACTCTAATAGCATGAAAGTCACTGAATGTTCTCTGGTATTCTAGTCAAGTGTTTCTTTAGACACTCTTTATAAAGTGCTCAGATTGATGCAAGTTCAATTAAAATGGTTGTTATCGATTTTCACATTTCAAAGCATAGCTTATAAGATACTGACTATAATAAAAGCAAAATGACTCATGAAGTTTGTAACATTTATTCTTGATAAAGTAAAAATTTGAATTTGCTAATTTCGGTTTACACTAGATTTTATTAGTGACTGCATATTAAAACCCCTTTATTTAATGTATTCAATGATAGTCACAATAAGGGAGGTAATAATAAGGTAGTATTTTCAAATACCAGAAGGTTAAAGTTAATTGAAGTTAGAAAAAGCAGTGTGGGCCTTGAGATAAATCTAACCAAGCTGAATGGCCTGGCAACATGATATCAGATGCGAAGTTGCCAGTCAGTAATGCACAACATTATTTTAGGATACATGACAAGATTATTTTAGGAAATAATTTGTAATGACATACAAATGTATGGTTTTAATGTAGCTATAACTGTTTGGCAGAAAGATACTAATATCAATCATAGACCTTGTTCAATTCTTACATAAATAGAAAGGAATTCCAATACTTAGGATAGATAAATGTTGAAAATGTTACTGTCCTGATCTATCCTGTGTCCTGAAATGTAACATAAATGTAGACTTGTCCAAGTCTCCAAAAAAAAAAAAAAAAAACAGTGAAAATAGAATTGGTGGCAAGAATGGTTCTAGGCAAAGAGAGAGATCCTCTTGAGAAGTGCAAATGGTTGGGACTGTATAGCAGTGAGTTAAATGTGAGGAGTTGTGTCATGAATTGTGTTGAGATTCTAAAACCATTTTTCTTATTTGTGCTTTTCATAGCGTAAAGAGAAGTCTGTTTAATGTGTTTGAAAAACAGCATATTAAGAATTTGCATGTGGAAGTACTTCAAATTTAGGTTATGAATTAAAAGACCAAAACCATTTGTGTGGTGAGAGAAGCATTCTGAATTACATTCAAAAAAAGATTTTCAGGGCTTTATATAATGGCTGTACACCTTACAGAGCAGAGGAGTAAGATAGCAAGTAGCTGAATGAGGTGGAAAAACATTTTGACAGTTGCTGGACTTGTGAAACGATGAGGAGAGAAACAGAAATTCACTATGTTTCTTACAAGGTTTGCTACACTTCCCTGAGAAGCATTTGCCTAGTGACCGCAGTAGGAGACTGAACAGGAACTGCATACCTAAAATAACTTCCTTTTCACATGAGATTATATTTATTTTCTTCTAGGTTGATATAGAAATTAATGGAGAGGCTGTAGATTTGCACATGAAACTAGGAGACAATGGAGAAGCCTTTTTTGTGCAGGAGATGGATAATGATCAGGTAAGAGCCAAAGCTAATCTGAATTTGTTAAAAATTCAATGCCTGCTCTTCAGAGTCAGTTTTGAGTTTAGGAATTTTGCTGGAAAACACACCTTTACCCATTTTATAATTTTGAAAGTTTCTGGACAATTTTCTGCTGTGAAACGATACTATGGAATTACTTAGTTTTCTTCATTTGGAAGAATTTAAAGAAGGTAACCACATGACTGAAAAATAAATTATAGTTTGTGTGCATGCCAGTGTATGAAGAGAAATGACAAGTACGGAGTTCACATGCTCTGAAGACATGTACAGCAGGTTAATATGTCCATGGGACCTGTTTTTTTGCAGAAACCTTTACTTAAGACACATGAACTCAGTAAAAGTACAGTAAAAGTGTACACGTTCTGTAAATCTCTGTGTACGCATTCGTCTCTGTATCTTTATGTTTAAATCTTATGATCTTTAAATTTTCTGGGTGGTAATAGTTATTTAGTGACTGAAAACTACTAGAAATATTAATCTCTCTCTCTCTCTCTCTCTCTCTCTCTCTCTCTGATTGAATAAGAAGATGTGTGTGTGACTTACTTTTAAACCGCTGACCTATCTGAGTTCTGTCTGTTATCTGACTTGTGGAGGAGAATTGGATTTTACAAACTGTTCAGATTTTAAACTAAGATTTTGTTTCTGCTCTGTATCTAGCATCACATGGATGGAGACTCATGTCATAACCTGGCCAATATTAGATGAACAGATGATCTTCTTTTATTAAAAGTATTGTTCCTGACTTTTCTAAGGAGATACAGCTATGGAACAATTTCCATATGCTGCAGGATCATGCTGAGCATCCAGATGTCTAATCTTTGCTACTTTTCTGAGGAATAAATTACTTAGATTTTGGCAATTATGCATAGATTTTAGAACCAAATGGAAGAACTAATATGTTGTGTGATTTGAATTTTTCTTCCTCAGGAGGTAATTCCTTATCATCTCTCCACATCTCCCATTCTGTCTGAGGGAACTACTTTAATGGAAGCTCAACTGAAGCGGAACTCCATAGACAGGATAAGGAACCCAGACACGAATGCATCGTCACAGGTGCCACCCCAGGCCCATGGATCCCAACCTTCTACTGAAACATCTCCAGTCTGTAGCTCTGTGAAAAAAAGGAGGAAAAAGAGGAGAAAGTCTACACATAAAATAGACAGCTTAAAAAGAGAAGACCTTGGAGATACATCAGAAGATGAAGACATGTTTCCTATAGAGATTAGCTCAGAGGATGAAAAAGAACCTTTGGACAGTTCAAGGTGCTTCTGGGTTAATGTTCTGTTCCTTAACTTATAACAGTAATTTCTGTCTAAGGCAGTACACATGGCTGATGAATGTGTTTCTTTAAGAAAAAGCTTTGCGCCAGAAGGCTGTTGGGAATGTTAGTAAAAAAATGATGGAAAAGACATTGAAAACATAAGAACAATCCTCCATCATGCTGTGAGCTAGAAGGTGTGAGTCAGATAACATTTGTTGATCTCTTTAGTTTAGGTTATACTAATTCTTCTCTGCAGCAGGGTTTTTTTTGTTATCTGAAGAATACGCCAGTTCAGTAATCAAGTATAGTTTTCAAATGTGTGGTCTTTCCTTATACCTAGGATCCCTGTTCCAGATGTGTTTGTTGATGACGTAACTGACATAAAGGCTCCTCCAGTTTCTACATTTTCTCAGTCTTCATCTTACCCTTGTTCAGATGGAGAATGGTCCCCTCTTCAAAGGTAGTTTTTCTGATAGTACACTTCTAAATAATCTTCCTTTTTCCATTAATGTTTTATATGCTAGTGCTATATGAAGTCTTTCTAAAAATTTTGGTATCAATCATGGTCACCGTCACCTACTAGATGAATGCTTTCTGTATTTGAAATCAGATGGTGTAGCAAACCGTCAAGTTAGCTTTGTTCGTGGTTCAACAAATGCAGGTCCACGAATTCTGAAGAATATTTATATTTGTTAATGTCACTGTTTGCATATAAATACTGTAGAGAGGATGATCGTTTTGTGAAATCTGAATCTTTTCCTGATGCATACACCTGGTAATGAGTTTGGTGAATGCAAGTATATAAATCTTTAGTACTTTGAGGATAATCCTTTTAAGAACCTGCAGGACTGGAGTTGATATATAAAAGTAAGACTTTTTACATGAATAAAAATATGAGTTTTTTATGTCTCTTTCAAAGCTGATCTATTGTATTGCACAGTTAGATAGATATGAAATACTTACTGTGTGGAAAGAACACATATGGTAATTTGCTTACTTTTTCCTGTATGTGTTTGTGTGCTTGTGTTTACTTCTGATGTTGAAATAGATCAGTTGGAACCTCCCTTCTTGCATCTTTGGAACATTGTCAAAAAGGGACAGTTTTTGCTAAATGTGCATTGGATTATAGTTCTCATGAAGTCTCCGTGTGCGTGTGTGTGTGTGCGCGTGCACGTGCCCCACGTCCTCCACGCAGACTGTTGGAGTGGAGCAATAAGCACAAGGCCTTGTCTTATTGAAGAAGTCTCATCTCAGTGTGCTGTCTCTGTAGTTGAGGGGCAGAGGAAGGGAAAGTGAGGAGGTTATTTCAGAGCAAAGGCTTAGTTTAAACGTTGTGAATTGCATTCTGAAAGAAACTTCTCCGCTGACTGTGAAGCTTAATGTGATTTAGCTTCACCAGTCTGGTGACAGCATGTGTCAATACTCTGCCCCTTCGATGGCTTTTTCAACTGTGTGTTCTGTTTGTTTCTTGATTGCAGTAGTCTGGATTTTGAAAACTCTAGATGTAAATTCAGCATTCACATAGCTAATGCACAAAGAGCTTATGTTAATCAGCACTTGTGAATAATGACACCCTGTTTTTCTTTCTACCAACATGCTGTGCTGTCCAGTAAGCCTATAGATTGCACAGGGCAATCCTCTCTTCTCACTGTTCCAGCAGACGGAGGTCTATCTAACTCTTGTCCTCAACAACCTTCCTTCTTTTCTTCTCCAGACAGGTAGAATAGTTGTCTTCCCTCTTTTCTGAGCTGCTCATTAATCCTTTTAACACATATATACACTTAACACATCAATAGTATGTGATTTTCATTGAACTTATAACTGCACTTACTGCTAACCCAGATGCTTTGAAAGAAAATGACATTGAAAACCCCTTCCTCTGTTTGCTTCTTTGTGAGCATTGGCTGGAGGTAAGTTACATTGATAAATCATCCACTGAATGAATACGGCTCATCAGGCCAATGAAAACCTGTGTTAAGCTCAGATTGATTAAGATGATCAAAACAAAGGGAAGAACTTAGCTAGTGCAAATTTACATTATTCTGATGACTGATACTTCTGTGTGGCTTTTTACAGTCAGTGTCTATTTTAGTGACGTTTTTATCCCGTGGTTTTCTGGAGTTGTTTGGTTGTGCATAGCTTGCAAAAGTAAAAGCAAACAAAAGCCTTGGAGATTAAGTGAACAATTAAGTGATTAAGTGAGCAATAAGGAGTGCAAAACTTGAAATAAGAGGAGCCCAGTACCAAAAGAGAACTTCTCTTCCTTTGTTCCCTGGTTTGGGGGAGGGGAAGACTTTCTGTAGGTTGGGTTGCAGTGGGGGAACATTTTGTAGAGCAAAGATGACACAGTAGATAAGGCATCTTGCCTAAGGTTTAGGAGATCCGAACTTAAGCCTTTGCTGTAGCGTAGAATTCCTTTTGACTGTGCAGAGGCAAAAGTGAATATGGACACTTTTTATGATATCTTAAATTCTAGATGTCTCAAGATTCTGCTGCCAGGTGCTTTCCATTAAGTCAGCAGAGATGTTGTCCCACAAGCCTGGACTGGTTCCTGGTGTGCGATAAGCCAATCTTACACTCAGAGCCAAGACATTTATTTATTTCATGTTGGTGCAAAGATGGGTGCTAGGTGTGTGGTGTGCTAGCTTTGCAGAAAAAACATAGGAGCTACAGCCTATGTATTTTGTTATATTATTGGTAAAACCAACTTAAATTTACTCTTACTGTTCAGTAGTCAGCATCCCATCTGTTATCAGTTAGTTATGATTAAATTAACCTCACTCATGCAAATTAGCATGCATGCTCCTCACAAATCTGGGGGACACGTCCTTTCTGATTTGAATTGAGGTGGTGATCAGGATCGCCCCCTGCTGCCGTTACATTTCCCCTGATTACTACAGATTTTACTGACTCCCATGTTTTTTGTCAATCCACCAGTTTTTTCAGAGTCTTCTGGGGCAGTGTGTTCCCTTCTTCTCATTTTTTTTCAGTTCTTCTTCAAGGGTGTAATAGTTAGCAAGGCACGCACTTATACAAGGTAACATGTTTACACAACAAAGCTATTGGTCAGTGGTCCTCCTTAGGAGACCAACACAGTATATCCAACCCTAAGTTAAAGGGCGTCACTCTAACCTAACCATTAACCGAAATGTATGGTTTTACTTAGTCTACAGAAAGAAGTCACAGTGACTTAGTTAAAAAATTTGAAGTCGGTGTCTGAATATGACCTCTACAATTCTTCATTAATGCCAGGGAAGTTTCGAGTAATAATTTAGGATAAATTGCTTATTACTTTTCTCAGCATAGATACCATACTAAGTGCCTAAACCTGGATCAAAACTGATAATGTTGAGGTTTTTCCTGCTTATAGCTCTACCCTCTTTAACCCGTTGCAGCACTAAGTCAGGATGAGATCCTGGGATGTTCAAGGCTGTTCTCCTCAGTGTTTTTTATGGGAAGAAAGGCCAGGTGCGCAGGTTGAGATGGAACATTGATGTGCTCTAAGTTGCTCCATGAACTTTGCTCTGGAGTTCACCTGTCCTGCAGTCTATATATACAGCTAAAGTGCTGTTGTGACTTGTCTGAATAATGCTCTCTCTGTGTCTGCAACTGATTTCCTGTGTCTGAAATGAGAAACTGTGTTATGGCCACCTCAAAGGAGGGTCAGAGGCTCTCAGCTATTGTTCTGACATGTACATGAGGTAGGCCTCTTTCCTTCTGATTATCTTCTGGTTTATTTGGCCTCAGTCAAGACAGGACCTTTTCTCAGGTCACACTCAGGGCTCTCTTTGCTTTCAGTGGGAAACACTGCAAAGATCTTCAGGGTTTGTTGTTGCAGAACTGCCAACTGCAGGCCATGTTCCTTATTCTTGACTTTGGGTTACGCTAAGTGCAATCACAGCTGGTAAGGAATACATTGGACTGTGACACAAATACTCAGCATTTATGGGATATGAATCAGATATGCTAATCTAAATGACTGAAGTTTCCCTTCTTACACAGTGTTGACATGATAGGTGGCTGTAGTTTAATCTGCAATGTCTCAGCAACCTATGTAAGACAAGAGGATTTCAGCTGGGCTGTGTCAGTGCCTAAATTAAGGACGAGGGTGTTGCAGGGTGCAGTTCAGCACAAGGCAAACATCTTGACAGAGTAAAGAATAAAGAACCGAAATGGAGACCTGTGACGAGTGGAGTCCCTTAGGGGTTGATACTGGCACTGGTGCTATTTAACATTTTTGTCAGCAATGGACAGTGGGATTGAATGCACTCTAAGCAAGTTTGTCGATGACACCAAGCTGTGTGTGTGGTCAGCATGCTGGAGGGAAGGGATGCCATCCAGAGGCACCTGGGCAGGCTGCAGAGATGGGCCATGCCAACCTCGTGAAGTTCAACAAGGCCAAGTTCAAGGTCATGCACCTGGGTCAGGGCAATCCCAAATACAGGCTGGGCAAGGAGTGGATTGAGAGCAGCCCCGGAGAGAAGGACTTGGAGGTGCTGATTGATGCAGCGCTTAATGTGAGCTGGCAATGTGTGCTGGCAGCCCAAGAAGCCAACTGTGTCTTGTGCTGCATCAGAAGAAGTGTGGCCAGCAGATCAAGGGAGGTGATTCTGCCCCTCTGCTCTTGGGAGACCCCACCTGCAGAGCCCCTGCAGTACTGGATCCAGCTCTGGGGCCCCCAACATAGGAAGGACATGTTAGAGTGGATCCAGAGGAGGCCACAAAAATGATCAGAGGGCTGGAGCACCACTGCTATGAGGATAAGCTGAGGGAAATGGGTTTGTTCAGCCTGGAGAAAGCTCTGGGGAGACCCTATAGTGTTTTTCTAGTACCTCAAGGGCGCCTACAGGAAAGCTGGTGAGGGGATGTTTACAAGGGCATGTGGTGGCAGGACAAGGGGCAGTTGTTTTAAACTAGAGCAGGGTAGATTTAGATTAGACATTTGGAAGAAGTTCTTTACTATGAGGGTGGTGAGGCACTGGAATAGGTTGCCCAGGGAAGCTGTGGATGCCTCATCCCTGGAAGTTTTTAAGACCTGGCTGGGGCTTTGAGCAACCTGGTCTAGTGGGAGATGTCCCTGCCTGTCGCATGGGGATTGGAACGAGATGATCTTTAAGGCTCTTTTCCAACACAAGCCCTCCTGTGATTCTGTGATTCAGTGATTCTATGATTTTGAGTCTGATCTATGGATGTATTTGCAGGATACTGTCATGGGGTTACAGATTCTACACCCTCTTGGTGTTCAGCCTTATTGACCCCTGTTGCAAGTGTAACATTAATTCAGGATTTAATTTCACCTAACAGAGCTTCAAAAAAAGAACTAAAGAAACGTGATTGTGAGTTTTATTAATCTTCCGTCTCATTTTACTTTGGTGGCACTAGTTTGAAGTGAATGGCAGCCAAAATAGTCTCAGTGCAGGTAAAGGAGACAACATCTGGCATTACATACGGAAGCAGAACTACACAAACAGAAAGTATACAAATGGGACTGTAGTAGGCATAATTGGCATTTGTGTCCAGAAACTACAGAGATTCTGGTTGCTATTCCCGAAGGCTGTTAGATCTAGAGTGTTAAACAATACTGGCATATGAAGAAAAAAATAAAAGTATTCCTCTCTAGCAGAAAACCAGCTCTTGTTAAGGCCATCAACCCTGTATTAATGTTTGTGGGTGGTAAATTCCAGTTTATGTCCCAGATGATTAAGGAACGAGAATGCTTTAGCATCCTTTTATATAAACAAAATAATTTACCCCCTGTTTGCCTCGTGGATGCATGTTTGCAGTCTGATTTGGTCTTGGGCCTTTTAAATTAAGAACACATTGGAATGATAATTCTAGTCTACTCTCAGATTGTGTTAGCATTTGTACACTAATCTGCAAAGAGGAATCATCTGAAGAGAATTCTGAAGATCTAACATTTTGTTACTACTAAATCCCTGTGTTTTATTGTTTACAAAAGTATTACGTATAGCATGAGAATTAAGATGTCTCCGTTGTACTTGTGTTGAAAGTGTGATAGTGTGTCTTTTGTGTGCTTTGCTTTGGAAGAATGGATAGTATTTTGGGGATTAGATGCTCACCCTATTACTAATTTACTATGGTTATACTTGTAGTTATGTCTATGCTGAACCAATAACCCAGATGTGTGCACGGATCATCGGGTACCCTTTTGCAGAGAGAGCCTTCTCAGATCAGAACTTTGCCTGTTTTAACGTACATACTATGCAAGTGCCGTATTTCTGGCATGTGTGTGTCTGGGAATGTACATCATGGTTCTTGGTGCTGAGTAATAGCCTGGGCCTCTTCCCCACTCAATTGTGTGTACTGTGTGGGGAACTGTATTTTCAGGGAAAATTATGGAAAAGGCCCTCCTCCATCAATATTCTCACTGCAAAATGCAGAGGTTCTAGCCCAAACTGAAGCAATGTCTGTATTCTCTCAGGCTGTCTGTCTGGGTAAGTGAACCTGGGATGAACATACCCCAAAGCCCAGGCTGCAGGTTATTTTAAGTAAATAGTAGATATTTTGAAGATTAAAATAAGTGTAGTACACAACTCATGCAGTTGCAACACTTCCTTAAATCTAGATGGTTTAGGTTTAAAGTAGCAGTAGAAGCATTATTGCTTGCTGAGATTTTCTGAAGTGCCCACACTTGTGATTTCCAAGGTTTCAGTGGGCTCTAGATACGTGGAAAATATTGCAAATCCTACAGCCTTTTCAATAGGAGATGTAGAAGTTGTTGAAAAACCCTTCAGGCATTTCTTGAATCTTAGAGCTGGAAAATACTTTTAAAATCACATCATATTGATTCTTTCATCAGTCAAATGGTAGGTTATACCCTAAAGACTAGTAAAAATTTGAACCTCTTTGGACCAAAAAAGACCTTCCACAGTTGAATTGCTTGTAAATTTTATAGTTAGTCAGGTAATATAATTATCTATAGCTAAAAAGTCATAGCATTTGTCCATATTCAAAGTATATCTTACTGCAACATAGATGAAAACAAGCAATAAAGTAGATGACTAGGTTGTTGTTTTCTCAGATATGAAATTCACAGGTTTTTAGAAGCCACTTTGCCTTACTGTGAAGTAATTATTTACCTATGACCACCAAATTTCCTACCAGCTAGCTCCACAAAACTGCCTTACATGGAAAGAACAAAACTTGTTTTGGTATTCAGTTTATCAAGAAGAAGGTGAAGAATAAAATCAAACATGAAGAATGTATACTAAATGTAGAAAGCCTTTTGTTTTTGAGAGTGAAGGTAACTCAGTTTGGACCTTTGATTTAGGAATGTTGTGGATTCTTTTGTTGCTTTTATTTTTTAAATCAGTATTGCATGAGTATACCAAAGACATGCTATGGCTCAGATGAAAAATAATGGACTTTTTTCAGGGAGTCCTGGGTGAAATTCTATGACTTGCATTATGCAGAAACACAGAGTATATAATCTGAATTTTTCATTTTGTCCTTTAAATCAGTGAATCATTACTTCTGACTTGACATCATGTTATTGACTTCACCATATTAAAATTATGCTACAAACTGATAATTTACTAATTAATTATTAAACATTGTGTATTGAGTAATCAGCAAAACAAACAGTTTTGAACTTGGGGGACTCAAAACCTTTGCATAGCTCTACTGCTGGTTTCCCCATAAACATGCATCCAAGAGTAGAGCTGAAAAAGTTAGTAGAAGAAAGTAATCGAATTGATTCCTTAGACTAATTTACTACTTCATCAGGATAAAGCATGTTGTTGATGTGATTTCTGCATTTCACATCCATTATAATATTACTAACATCTATTCATCTGCTGCTAGTGTTACCATCCCAATCCTTGTCACCATGCAAAACCAAAATCCTCCCAAAATATTCAGTCCAGTGCTCTTGTTCCATCATTCAGCTTCTCAAATCCAACTCTGAATGCCAGTTCAAGAGAATGCTGAACAGTTGAAACTCTTTTTCCATGCTTTCTCGCTTTCAGTTGGCTAATGATTACTTAGAACTTCAATGCTGTGGGCTAGTGAAAAGTGCTTGGTGAATTGTGGTTACTTTTGGTTTTCTAATATTTTTTGTTTGTTTGTCTTCAGCCCATTAGGTTCACGTCCTCCTACTCCTAAGAGTGACTCAGAATTAGTCAGTAAACCTACGGACAGAAGTGGACTGAAGGATAATCCCCACATGCACTGGGCATGGGGAGAACTACCTCAGGCTGCGAAGGTATCCAGCGTTATTTGCTTAATTTCTGCTAGCATCTGTTGTGCTTTAATAGGACACATGCTTATTCTATTGCAAACTGCTGAAAAGGGAATCGATCCCGTTTTTACATAAAATTGCAATGTTTTGAATGTAAAAGAATTACTCCTTAGAACGTGCAAGAATGAACCTTGTGCCATGGATATTCTCAACACTGATGATACACGTAGAAAATGAAAAAGTATGAGACACAATCTTGTAAAAGTTAGAAGCTTAAATAACATATAAAATACAACTCAATGTCCTTTGCTAAACCACTAATATTCATAAATTCTCTTGGGTGGAAATGAGATGGTTGGTGTTAGCAATGTGATTCACAAAAATTAAAATTGCTTGCTTGAGTGCATCAGGATCCAGAAACACCTGCAGTTCTGTAGCTCTGCAGGCCCAGACATGCTGTTCTCTTGGCTGAGCTGACTGGCTCAGTGCCTGTCTCCTGCCTGAAGCCATTTGGCCCAGTTCAATGGCAGGATCTGTAGTGTGCCAGCAGCACTGTCTCCCATGCTGCACAGTCACCACGAGCAGCTGCGTACACTGTGGGTCAGCCAGGTACTGGCTTGATAGCTGTGGAGTCAGAGCATTCCTACAGGAAAGGGGAAATTTAGGGCTTACGTCTGCCTCAGGGTGTGAGAAATAAAGGTCAGGTTCCACTGGCATACTGCAACCAAGGGGGCAGGGGTGGTGCAGAGTTTGGCCTCTTTTGCTGAAGGCTGGCTTCTCTGCAAGAAGGACTGCAGGAGTGATGGGGTCAGGAACAGCATAAATAAACAAAATTCCTGCTTTGCAGGCCAGGGAAGTGGGTATCCTCCTCAGAAAGATTTCTGCATTCTAGTGGTGGCACTAGAATTATAATGACACTATTATAATTTGGTTTTAATTCACTGTTGGTAGCTAGTGACAAAAGCAGGGATGGGAATCCAAAATTCTTAATTCCTGCAAAAGAGGTCTGGCCTCATCTTTAGTTTGCCAGAAATAGTGTGTCCCATCACCTCTGCATTATTCTCCTCCTCATGCATATTACAAGAAAATTGAGAGATGTTTTCTGTACATAGAGAACTGATTTAAGTGCACAGGTCCAGGCAGGAGCTTCAAATTGGCATTCCCAGCCTAGAATTTCTGGCTTACTTTTTCTCCCAGTCACACAGCCTGGTGTGTATTGCCAATCTTCGTCCTGGAGGCTTTTCCCTCTGCAGTGACTGTTTAATTCCCTAACCAAGTGTCTCGGTTTAGAAGACAGAGGAAAGCCTCCCTTGA